ATATTTTCATCAATACAATTACTTTCACATCCCATGATGTCCTAAGCCTCTCAAAAATTAGACGCAATCCAAGTCGAATGTAACTCGCATATTTTTCGTTGCTATATAACAAATTCCATTGGGAGAGAGGCGGCGACCCATCCCACTGTAATTACAGGAACCGGTCGGTAGCCTCGCTCTAAAACTCTTAATTCCGCAACAAATTGCGAAACGGTCTCGCATTCCCGACGAAATCTCGACGAGATGGGACCACACACTAATTGAAACTGTACAAGAAAGTAGTGCTAAAACAATCTACTATTTATGATACTATACCTGCCCGCGACTCTGTCCGAGCGGAATTTAAAAAACTTAATTAGTAGCTTGTGTTCTTCCAGACTATAATCTACATGTGTGCGAAATTTGATCAAGATCCGTTTAGCCGTTCTGGAGATACCTTCAAACAAACATCCATCCATCCAAACATTCGCATTTATAATATTAGTAAGATTTATATTTAGATGATATATGTAGCACATAGTCTGTGTTGTGGATTTAAAGAGGTTATTTTTATAAGATACTGGCTGTAATAGATAGGCAACTATAAAATCTAATTTAGAACAGAAGTATTTTAAAACAGATATTTTGAGTTTGAGTTGTTTAAATGACAATAAAATTGAAGTTAGTTAAAGTAACTAAATCATTATTCTATTTTCCATAATAAATGCAAAAAATTAAACATCAAATACATCCACCATTTTGTAATATTAAAAAAAATACCTAAATAAAAACCTAATTTGATTGCTTTCACAAAAGAACCTTTCTTTGTATTTTCATAAACTTCAAGGTAACAGATCCTCGAGTCAAAGAAAGAAATAATATCAAGAAATTAATTTCCAAAGGCATTTGAGGAGAGTACTTGTGAAGGAAACTGGTGTAGGTAGATTCGCTGTGACCGTCTTAAAGCTATCAAAGAAATGCCGGCGCAATTAAGCGAGCATTTTCAGGTCAATGCCGGCTTGTATTACAAATGAGAGAAACATCATTTTACGGTCTATTATTTCAACATTTTAATAATGAATAGTTTTGTTCCTGTATAAAATGACAGGGACAACATATTATATTGTAAAAAAAAAAGCTTTTATATGTTTGGAGATCTATTAAGTCACAAAAACTTACTAAACGTAAGTTTCTGAGACTAAAATCTCTGTATACTTTCTCAAAATAGAGTTTTAAAAAGGGATTTTGGTCTCAGAAATCCACGGTTACTAATGGATCGTTTTTGTGGCTCTGAATAGGAAACATTTCTACTCTTATTTTCGGCTAAAATAACTTAGCTAACCTCAGTAATAACAAAATATATACGAGTATCCTTCCTAATTAGTTAATAATTAGCAACAGTGTGCTTATTTTCCGTACGACAACATCCGGTGTAGGGAGACGGGAACATACGAGTAACGCCTGCCCTTTGAAGATGAGACAACCACAGAGTATGTTGTTTATGATACGACTTTACATCATATTAATTTTAAATGTTAAAGACTGGAGTAAACGTGACAATTAAGAATAGACTGGCAGCCAAGAATAAAGAAAAATACAAAAATAATTATTTTTAAAACTGCAAACGACCAGCAATCAGATTAATAACGCAATAATGAGTATTGGGAGACATATTATATCGTATCCGATGAAAAAAAATTTTTTTTGAGGTGAACAAGTAAAAAAAAACTCTGTTTTCACTCTTTGAAAATCAGAAGTTCACACTTTTAAACAAAAAAGGCTATGATTCAAAGTATAATGTGGGCGTAAATAAAAGTATAAATATGTATATTATTTCAAATGGAGAAGTGCGTATTGTGTTAACATTGCTAAGGACAAAGGAAAATTTTCCCAGCCGTTTGATTTGTAGCTACATAAAAATTATTTATTTTCCCGCTCTCGTAAAACAAAACATCGAGGTGTTTTTTGTTGGAATCTTTTACTAAATAAAATATTTACACCGATAAATTAAATGTTTGTCGAATGTATTTGACCACTATAAAATTTATGAAATGTTATTTTTAGCTAGCAAATAACTACAACGTAACTATAATCGTTTAACTGAAGTTTTCATTATTAGTTAAAAAAAAGTATTAAAGACTGAACGCTTAAAAGAAGAGAATTTTATTTGAACGATGTTTGATTAAATTGCAAGTAAAATTAACCATTTTAAAATGTCTTTTTAAAATACAGGCATGCTATTAATATATTCCATGTTTATGATAAAGTTTAGTTCATCTATTTATTACATTTATGTGTATATAATATAAATACACTGCATACCATAAATTTTAATTAAATTTCTATACTAACAGCTATTTCTTCAACATGGACGTAATTCGCAACGCACAAGCCCCCGGCTTTAGTAAAAATAAACTTATTACCTACTTGTTTATTGGAACGGAACGCTCGGCCCGACTTCGAACATGAAAATCTCAGTATAAAATCAATAGGTACAAGTAAATATCAATTAACAATAATTCCCGGAACGAAAACAACAATATGGAATAACAAATAAATCAATGCGAGCCCAAGGGTCATAGTTTGGTTTACATTTAATTTGCGGACAGTAGTTGGGACGCAACAATTCGCTTCGGTCTACCGGACTATTGAATTCGATAAACTATTGTTTTAAAAACATCATTGTGTTCTACAACTGCAGCCAGAAACAGTTGTGTTTACAGATGCATATTGAAATCGGATATGTGGTTTTTATATTTGCTGTTATTAATGAATTCATACAAAGGTTTTAATTTTGAAACCTTAGTCGGATTATAAGTTCGGACACGCAAACTTGACTCTACTATATCCACACATCTAGACTTGCACACATTTTTGTGTTTTAAAATGGCTTAAATTTCAATTTGTATTTTAATTTATAAACAAATGAATGAGAAAAAATCCTATTTACTTGTAAAGATTCGTTACTTAATAGGTTACATTCGTGTCCTGTAAGACCTTTTCCTTTTGTCGGCAGCGAACAAATACTCGACACGTGTGCAGGCACTCGAGAAGACTCCGGCCACATCCCTGAGAGCCTTCGCCCGCGGCGCCGGAAAACATACGACCAATCTATTCTTTGAAGGCTCAAACCCTTGATGTACTTTTGAATTCTGACTTCCGGAAATACCATTAGTGATTTCTTTGTTGGAGTCGAACTGTTTTCCTTTTTGGTCCTTCGTACCCAAGGCTAGTCAAACCTCAGATTCATGTATCATACTTTGTTTAACGAGATAGACCAAATTAATGTTCCATACTTGCGTCGCGAGTATCACATAGTACGCGGTCCGGACACAGATTATCGAATCTTCGACACGAGTAGTCTATTCGGTCAGTACAGGCATAGCGACTAACATGGTGTAGCGATTTACAGACTATCAACTGTACGGATTTGCTCCATCATCTTGAAAAAAATGGCGACTTTTGATGCTATGGTCTTGACTAACATGAAGCAAGCAAATGGAGATAGTAACGAAAAAACATAGTGTAGACGACGCGTGCCTGTGTCCGAACTCTGATATTGTATTTCATAAGTCGCTAAGAGATCAAGTTCGCCCGGTATCGAAGATTTACTTAGTCTTATGAACAAAGGGACGAAATATTATTTTTATCACGTTGATACACTTAATAGCCTACAACATATCTTAATCATTTCTTAGTTTGCCAATCATTTTTTTAATCTAATTAGTTTTTGCTGAGATTATCATGTGCAAACTATTCTTATTATAGCCCTTCACAATTTTAGCTGGCATTTTAATACTGTTTATAATAAAATTAATATTACCAAATGCGATAATCACTAATAAATCTTCCGTGAATGTCGAGGAACAAAATAATTCAAGAAAAAACAAAAACTTTTAATTAAGCTCTTATAAAACAATGCTCTTGTCGAAATGAAAAGCGATAGCGTTACCAAAGACTAAAGTGCTATTGTTTCTTTGTTTCTTTTTCAACGTCACTTACTTTTCCGCCGATTTCAAAGACGACGTCAACCCGAATTACTTTTTTATTCTTAACGTTTTATAAACCCAACAAAACTTGAAGTTCGGTTTCACAAAACTCGTGAACTCAACTGTTTTTATATTAAAGGAAACGTTGTATTTCTACTTGTCAGAACCAGATCTTTGAAGTTTGTGTAGAAAATCTTTTCTATATTTTTTGTAGTATTTTAAATCTTTGTCGTGTTATAGTTGTAGCAGAGCAAATAATATTATTTTAAATTTTAAATCAAGGTACGCGATAATTAGTAAATTATCGCGTACCATTAATTGAAAAGTTTATTCTGAATAATTTGATATAGAATTTTATCGCCGATTAAATTTTAAAAGCAGCATTAAAGACAAAATATAGTAAAATAGTAATCGTATTATATCAATATATTAATATAATAAGATTAATACATAAGAAAGACAGCTCCTCATAAAAACAATCGCGGTGGAAAATAACATCATAAAATATCTGTTCGATTACACGCCTCGAGCGTGAAATTGTTGCGATGTTATACAGCGTCGCCTGTTTGCTATAATTCCAGTGAAATCCTTACAAAACAATCACACATTGTCTTATCTTTGTTGAGACATCGTGAAATGAAATCAACCATAACCTTTTAATAACACATTTGTTATTAGAAAAACTTTTATTTGTTTTTTTTTTTTGCATTTTATAATTTTATTTATTCAAAGTCAAAGAAAATATTTTTATCTGCCCAAAAATAGCAGCCGCTTCGTCCGTTCATTTTCTCGCCCTTTAAATTTTCCGCTTAGTTTCCTCTCGTGCCTAACCCTTTACCCTTGTTTACCTGATTCCCCGCATACTCGCACGTCACCTGCTTCACGCCCAAGGACCTGTCGACCATGCCATACCTGATACCGACGCCACCACCATATCCTGAACAACACAACACCTCGACGGCATCACGCCGATCGATTTTGGGGTAAACAGAAGCGCGAAGGCACGGCGGCCTGTTGCGCGCGGTCACTCACCGGGTAGCAGGACGAGCAGCGCCAAGGCCGCCAGGACGGGGGCCATGGCGGCGACGCGCGGGCATACCACACCCGCGCACGCTGCGCTACCACACCGGCGCGCTCATGCGGCCTGCTCTACACTACTCGGCCGGCCCGAGCGGCGCTCGGCACGGGACTGGGCGCGACGCCGCCCGCCCCGCTAGCCGCCCCCGCCCCCGCACGCCCTGCGCAGCCTTCAGGTGCGCGTGGCGGCGACCCGAGCCCTGCCCCTTCATAAAACCTACGATCTGTTTATGCTTTCGTTATATATTAGATGGCGAACATTTCGATAACCGCTAATGTGTCATCACAGGTGTCGGTGGGAGAGCGGGAGTTAGGCTGAGCAATGGGCTCAAGGTCGGTGCAGGCCGCGTCCGGGCCGCGGCCGCCGCTCGAGTCCCACTGCGTCCTTGACAGGGCCGCGGCTGCCCTCCTCGCACAGCTTCACTGGGACACTCTCAAATTACAGCCGTGCGTAAAACACGCATCTTATTTTCCTCTAATTTTTTAAAGAACTTTTTGAAATATGTAAACAATCACAATAGCAAAATAACTAAAATAAATGAAGATTACGGAGAATTAAGTATTGGGCATACGCTTAATTAGACATTAAAAGTTTAAAAATGTATGACGTTGACCTTAATCAATTAAATAATAACTAATAGACCTTAATACAATGTTACTTTGGTAAATAAATAAAAATAAAACATAATTTTGTTTCACTCTACATCTTGTCAGATCAAATAATTTCAATGTTATCCTCGCCTCTAAGGCCGTAGTAAAACAACTCCAACAAAGGAGTAGTGTGTGCTCGACGCTTGCAAAAAAACACGACATGAGAAAACCAACAAGTCTTTGTGGAAGAACATTTGAAAGGCGAAGCTCGCACCGCCGCGTATCCACTGCGCCGCGATACACACTGCACAAAGAATGTCTTCTCTACCAGAAATGTACACTAGTTACCTCTATTTAGTGTACCTTACAATTAACAAAAGTGAATAATTGATTTTTTGACGTCATTTATAGTACCTGAATTAATATTTGATTGATAATAGGGACCTTTATTTTAAACTACGCAAGGTGTTGCTAATATTACAATCGAAGTTATCAAAGTTATCATAATGCGAACCTGTTAAAAGCCACAAAATGATATAGAACATTTAAAAATGTGCAAGCTGAGTACTCTATTTCATAAACTAAAAGCACACAACGAAGCTATATTTTATTATTAATCAACGTCCATTTAATACGTGGGAGGTTCATTCATCAAGCCGCGAGGTGGCAGCACTTATCGCCTTATTTTTCTTATTACGAGCTTTAAGAGAATATCATGAAATATGCAGCGTAAGTGTAATAAGAATGAGCTTAAAAGCCTGACCAAACAACAACCGTTCGGTAACACACCTTTGACTATGTACTAATTTGATGTACCACGTGTTGCTATTAAAAAATTGGTTGCAATTATGAATAAAAAAACGATAGACTGTTGAACGAAGCGACCATCCTTAAGAAGTGTCTGAAATAAATTTAAGATCAAATAATAATTAGATGAAAAGAAATCAGCATGAATGTACGTAGTAGAGTAGTAGACGTACTACGCTGAGGGTAGCATTTTGCTACAATTGAGCGTAGCGCTTTGCTACGTTGTTCATTTAACGCGAAATACGTGAAGTAATTTTGCTGGCGAAAATTTGCTGTTTTGAAGTTTTTAAGCTACTTTAAAAAAAAAGAAGAAATTAAATTTATTAATTCACTACACTAATGTTATAAAACTGCACATACTCAGTTAGAAACTATATTCGAACATTGGTTGAAAACCACAAACAAGATCCGCTAAATATCACTGGACACGTTACATATGTTATGGTTGGAGTTTTTTCAATAGTGTAAGCCAAAAAAATCGAATTAAAACAATAATTTTTGCTCATCGCGACAAAAGGTTCTACATCTCGATTCGTAATTGCGAGTAAATTCATTAACCTACAAATGCCCTTCAGATCGAAAAATAAGAAAGTCGTGACCGGAGATTTTTAATTGGAATCCCGACCTAAGGCACTTTTCGATCTACATAGATAATATATTTTTAATGTATGAACTTTTAGTATTCTTATTTTATTAATAAAATTGGCAATGTTTTGAAACATTTTAACAGTGGTAGACCCCGCTTTAACATCTTCGCACGAATTGGCCCGGCTCGCCCGGTGAAATACCACGACCACACAGAAGACAGGCGTGAAGTGTAAGCAATTCCGCGTTTCCTCTTGTGAGTGTGCGTCCCGGAGGCCTCATTTAGTCCTCTTTCCCTTCCCACCCCTTTTCTATAGGAAAGGAAAGCGGAAACGCAAGAGAAACATAGCTTAATAAATCAATTACATATTAAATTTAAAGTAAGTATAAGTTCTGTACAAGTGTCTGTTAAAAACTAGTTGTTTTTTAAATAAGTTATAAAATATAGTTGTTTTTTTTTATATCATAAGATGGCAAACGAGCGAGCGGCCAAAAATCCACTTCCACTTCCCATCCTTTCCTTATAAGAAAAAGGGTGGGAAGGGTAAAAGAACTAAATTAGTCCTCCGGGCCGCACACTCATCAGACGAAAAGCGGAATTAATTCCACTTCACGCCTGTCTTGTGTGTGGTCGTAGTATTTCACCGGGCGAGCCGGGCCGATTCGTGCGAAGATGTTAAAGCGAGCTCTACCACTGTCAAAATATGTACATGTATAATATGACAAAGATAATACTATTTAATGCATATATGTAGATACATATGTGTGCATGTGCAAATGTATGTAGATAAATACCTGAAAAATATTTCAGATAGTGTAGTAATAAATTAAATTAATGTTATCATAATTCTTGACCCTTAAAAAACCTTATTAAAATAATATAAGACGTATTTTAAAATATTTAGAGATAATAACGATGTGCTATGAAAAGCTTCATCCACAAACGAGATTATTAAAAAGTTCCCGCTGGCGAAGTTTTTAAGTCTTAGGGAAGTGTGCCGGCAATGGAGAGCGCAATAAGGCTCAGGAGAACATGGTTAATAAAACGTTTAGAGATCCAATGAAAAGTAAAAAGCTCACGAGTCCAATTTGCCGCGCCGTCTCCACAATAACCACATTTGCATACGAAATTCAGAGTTTTTGCGCCCTTACGCAATAATATAAAATGTTGATGTGAACATTTGGTACCTAATTTAAGGTTATTCGTTATTATTTAAATGGGGAAGTTTTTATTAGACAATCATTATTGTACTCGGTGACCAACAAAAGTTAAAATTCAACTCATCATCATCATGAAAAGAAAATATTTTCTTGTAGATAAAATAAATATTATTTTTTCATACTTAAAAGCGTTTTGAATTTGGCAAAGAGTCAATAGCGAGTAGCGACACACATTTTACAACTGAGAATGCCACCGGTTGCACCATAAACATTCCTTATCGACAATACGTGTTGGATTTACTGCCGTTCTTTGTTTTAACTTATCCAAATGAACGACTCGAAACGCAGCAACGAACCTTTTCATAAAGCTCGGCGAATTTCAGTTTTTGTACGGTGAATTCTTCGAATAATAAAACTTTTAAAAACCGTGTTTTTATACCGCCAACAAAACGTTTCGTTTTTGAGAGCTGAAATAGTTTTAATTCACTGTGGTCTATGGCGCATGTTTCCTGAATTTCAAGCGCGTAGTGCCCGCTAAAATCTCCGGTTACTTTGTATTCAAATTAAGCTACATAATATATTTTAATCTTTATTTAAAGTTAATTACAGTCCATATAATGTACCACTACAAAACCAAATATATCAAAACATTAATTATGTATTATTAAAAAAAAATCGAAGAAAAGAACGAGTGACAGAATTCGAAGGAGTACTTTACTTGTAATATACCTGTCCTGGGTTCGAATCCCGCCATGTACCTATGTGTTTTTTCATTTTCGATTTATATATGTACATTTACCCGACGTTCTTACGGAAAGGGCCTGTTAGTCCTTAAACAGAAACGGAAGGTTGATTTAAATACAGAAGAACATTTCATAAATAAATCACTTATAATATATGGCATATTGTGCCTGAATCATGTTTTTTGAATATGATGTATTTGCGTTACTTACAACGAAAAACTTATTTTTCATTTATCTGTGTCTCGGTCCGCAAATGCGCGTTTGTTCCGAACAATCTCCAATAGCTGGCTTGATTTTGATAGAACTTTGTTGGCAAGGTTTTTAATAATTAAGCTATTCTGAATTTAATTATTAGTACCTTGTTCCAATTTAATTCGTGTTTTCAGTAGATTAAAGTTAGCGCATATGTATCAAACACTACTTAAATTTTTCTCTGGTATGCTAGTTTTCATCATATAAGTATCCACGCATAGTGATCAGTGCCTCCGCGTGGCCACAGGACAAAATAAATTACGACCGCTCACTAGCGACCCTTGTGTAAACTCAAAAAAGTGTCGCAACGGCCCGATAAGCTTGTCGCACTACGTTTACCTAATTTGAACTCGAATACAAATTAAATGAGTTAAAAGCGTTATATTGTAATCTTTGTTTACCCTTTTCGTCGTACCCAGTTTTATCTGTGTACGTTACGATTTTAGATTTAGATTTGCAACACTTACATTTGTCAAAACAAAAATGCAAAAAAAGGTTAAACGTCAATATTGTCAAACTGTTTCTGATGAAAAATTGAGGTACTGCGATTTAATTTTTATAATAATAATCATCACCGGTATGAAATAAGATACACAAAATGAATCAAGCAATCAACGTAGAACAACTGAACTCTGCATTGTCATCGCTTCGAACGGTGCGTTCGAATGTGAGCCTTGTTTTTGAAACCCTTTCGAATGGACTGCGAGCCGATCACGGTGAAGATGGCAAAGATAAATTTCTCATGGAGTTGCAGGAACTCCTTTATATTGTAAGCAACAATCTTCGAGACCTGGAACAGACTGTCAACGCTCTGCCTATTCCGGTTCCATTTAACCTCGGTAACACAACATATTTAAGCCAAGAAACAACACAAGATCGTCAAGCATTGTATACTCAACTTGTAAACAGTTACAAATGGACCGATAAGATTCACGAGTACAGCTCCTTTGCACAAACATTATTAAGTCAGAACTCCTTGAAGCGATCCTACATAAATTCGGGCAGCACGAAGCGTCGCGGGAAGCTTCAAAGTAACCACAACGTGGCGCCGCTGCAAGTGGATAATGTCATAAATAATATCGACAGATCTTACAATGATATGAAGATAACAATATCGCGTCCTTTTGCAAGTAATGCTGTTGTTTCCATCAACTTAAGCCATGTTTTAAAAGCCGTGGTGGCATTTAAAGGTTTACTAATGGAATGGGTGATGGTTAAAGGCTATGGTGAAACATTAGACTTGTGGACAGAATCTAGGCACCATGTTTTCAGAAAGGTGACTGAGAGTGCCCATGCAGCTATGCTTCATTTCTACTCCCCAACTCTACCCGAGTTAGCAGTGAGGTCATTTATGACATGGTTACATAGTTATGTGAATTTGTTTAGCGACCCATGCAAGAAATGTGGCTGCCACCTCCACCACACATCTCTACTGCCGCCTGCATGGCGAGACTTCCGTACCCTTGAACCGTTTCATGATGAGTGCAAACAATAGTTAATGTGGTATTGAACAGGAAAGCTCAAACAGTTTTCATGTTCCTGCTTTCCTGTTCAATATTAACTGAAATTATAGACTATGTCAGTAGTGAATGTGCTATAAACATTGAATATAACTTTAGTTTCGCAGTGGGAAAAATATCATGACTATGTTAACATAAAAACACACTTATAACCCAGAGGGGGCAGAGACCATGGATGTACATTGTACAAGATCCAGCCACGCCTCTCACTTCTACATTTATATATCTGTATGTACACGCACATCGGTTTTCTTATAAAAACCTTTGTTTACCTACCTTACTTACGTAATAAACAAGTCTATATTGTGTATTGGTAGTTTCTGTGGTTTTGCAATTGTACTATTATATAGTTTTATTAATGTAGTATTAATCAATTTATTGTACTATCAAATTGTATTATACGAAATGCAGATAAACATCCACTAAAATATTTTAGGCATAGAAATAGATTTCTCACATTTTATATATAGTTTTTTATTCCTATTATTACATGTAAGTTATTATGGATTATATGTAAAAATGATAACATTACAAAATAAAACAAAAGTTTTGTAACTATTCAATAATAATTTTATTTCCAATATGGCTTATAGATTTACACTAAACATTCAAAGTCTTAAACAAATGGCTTGCACATAGCAACTGTGTGGTCAACACTACACTTGACTTGCATCACATGAGCCCCAATTGATACTTTTAATGGAAAGTGTTGATCCTTTGTGTGTCCTAAGCCCAAACATCCGTGTCTATTTCTTCCCCATGTATACAGATCTCCATTGTTAGTTACGGCGGCTAAATGTCCAATACCACATGCTACTTTCTCAACAACACTTTGCGGATTGAACTCGTTCCTTCCAAATAGTGCTGGAGGTATCTGCTTAGGTGTTGCAGACTGCTGAACATTTGGCCCTAAGCCAAGCAAACCGAATCCCCAAACAAACACATCACCTTGCTCTACAAAGTAAATAAAATAAGTTCATTATAGAAAAGTTAGTTAACAGGTAAGTAATCTTAAACATATATAGACATAGTTTATGTTCATAAAATATATTTTAATTACCATTAACTATGAGACAAAATGAACCACCCGCAGCAATATCCACTATCTTGCCAATACCCTTTGTGAATTGAACCAATGCATAAGACATGTTTACTTGATCACTTTTTGATGGCATTGGTACTTGTCCATATTCAGAATTACCCCAACCAAAAAGCTCACCCCTATCTGAAAATTTTATAATCTACTTTTAATCATTTTGTTTTCATACTTTTAATATCTTTATTCTCAGATCCATACCGTTTAGTGCCAGCACACAATCTACAGTAGATGCCACTTTGACAATTTTCTCAGTTGTGATATCGCCTTTAACTGGTGCGGGAAATGCTTGGTTTTTGTAGGTGCCCAGTCCGGTCTGGCCATCTGCACCCCACCCACATGAATAAACTTTACCTGATTCTGTTATGAACAAACTGAAACAATTAGTTAACAATTTCATACTCTGTTTTGTATAATTTAGTAGCAATAACTTTTGACTACAAGGATTTTAGGGTTAAAAAACGTTATTGAGAAAGGATTATAAAATTCTAATTAAATATTATCCTTACGTATGATCTTGTCCACAGCAAACATTAACAATTTTTTCTTGTCCCAGTTTTTGAATATTATAAGACACCATGCTTCCTCTATATTCTTCATTGGGGTTTATCTTCCGGCCACATTGACCATAAGCATTATTTCCCAATGTGTACACACCTTCATTGTCTGTAAGTATTACTGTATGTGCTCTACCAGCTGCTAAATCTACTATCTATGAAAGTACATTATTGTTAATTTTTAAATTAACATAATTCAGTTCATGCAAATTCTGTTTAAAATACCTTTGGAACAGTTTAGTAACATATTAAGAGTAAAAATTTTAGCTTGAATTTTAAAGTAAAATAATACTGTATTAATTGTTATTTAACATTACTTAAAAAAAAATAAGTTTTCTTTATTAGAGCACAACTTTAAAATTACAATTTTATGAGTTAATTTTCAATAGATTTTACCTTACTTTCCAATGATTTATAAGGGATATAAATAGGAGCAGGACTCAGCAATAGCTCTAAAGGGTGGCCCATTCTCGGTGCGTGGTATCCAATCTGAGAATCGGTGTTTATACCAGTACCAAACAGCTTGTGTTGTTCATCTGTCTTTACAGCTGCTACTGTGAAGCCATATCCACAAGCTATTTGTGTTACCTGTAATGCAAACAAAGTCTGTTAATTCATATAGATTGTAGGCAGACAAAAATGTAATATTTGAGTTTCGTAATAAGCAATGCAAAAACATTATGCTCACATAATAGTCTTTCCAATTTTCTTATTGTATTATATAATGCATAACAGTCAAGACAGTGTAGTATACAAGAATTTAATAGTTGTACAAGATATACTACTTACATCAAATCTCTCACAAAAACTAGATCTCATTGGATACCAAACAAGAGAGAAATCGTTTCTATATGACTTGCGTCCTCTTTTGCCTCTACCTGGCATATGTATGCCGAGGGCGCCAGTTTCAGCCATCCCCCACACGTAGACCCGACGATCAGAACTTTTGCTGATTGGGTATTGGAATACTAAAAATTACAAAATATAGCAGAAAAATATTTAAAGCTGGATACTCGTATAAAAACGTAGTAATAGAATAATAGACACTGTTGTATTTAATTAATTACACTATTGTATAAATAATAGAAATAATTACTTGGTAATTGTTCTTCTTCATCTGGAATCGTTATTTTCTTTTTCGTTGTAACATTGCGGCATATAATTAGATTAGTCCTGTTCAGTCCAAAGAAAGATTTAACGCTTCTCATATTTATTTAATTCAAGTATCATTTGTAATAAAAACAATGAGTCACTAAAATAGAATTTACAATAATTCAAATGATAGGTTATGTTATGTTTTGATTGAACATTTTGAATTTGAAAAGATTTTGACGTTTTGTTGTTATTGTTTTTATTATTCGCTCGAGAGAGCAGGCAAAGGAACTAAGCCATACAGCCTTTTTTTTGACATTTTAATAGTGACACATTAAATATCCTAATATGAAGTAAATAATCTTTGCATAGATTAAAAAGCGACCAAATATTCAAAAACATAAATTTTTGAATTCGGCCGATGACCAGGGAATTGTAATCTCATTAAATTGAAGAAGCAATTGCAATAAGATAGTTTTTTTCATTAAATGTTCAAAACACAATTAACTACCTTTTGCTAAGGGACCGAAAACAGGATAAAGGTATAGGATATGAAATAAAACATCAAGGCCATTTATTATCATATAATATCAGACACAAGGAAATAATCAAGAGAGAAAAAAATTACTTAATTTTAGATAGTAAATTGGCGCGAAATTGTGTATTTTGAAACAGTGCTTTTATGAGACTTCTAAGTTCGTCAGTAGTAAAATGCCTAGCAAGTGGTCCAGCTCCGTCGCCCCAATGCAGGTCAATATCTCTTAGAGATCCGCCCAGAACGAACACGAGTTCTTGGAGTTTTATCCACGACTTTACGTAAGTATTTACGTCGATTTCATCCTGAAATTATGTTAATAAAGAAATTATAATAGCATTCTTAATATTTTTGCCTTTTAAGACTGATTAAAAACTTCTGATTATAACACTGAGTCTTACCGGGAACAATTGAGGTACTTTCTGAACAACAAGGCTGTACATTTCATTGAGCTGCGCCGCCATTTCCATGGAGATGTCCTCGACAGTGCACACACGGTGAATCAACTCGTCGATAAACATATTGATTAGTGTTGCCATCAATCTAAAACATTAAAAAAAATAATGTAATCTTGTTCTTGTGAAACCATTAACCATAACATCTCAAGTAAAATACTCGTAACGCTATTATTGTTACCTGATGAAGACATTAGAAGGAAACACTCCAATCCAAACATTTTTAAGGAGATGCAATTGCCTCAGACATTGTCTGACGGCCGCTTCCGCGTTATCATCGAGAACATCTTTCACAACAATGCAGTTCAGATCTATAAACATACAATGATCATAAAAGGAAATATTTACAAATACACATAACATACTGCAATTTAAGAGCAGAGACAATTTCTAGTGATAAAAAATTCTCATGTAGATCTGAAAATTCGCAACACAATATTTTATGAAATTAGAAATATGTTTAATAAATATTATCAAAAATAATTTAATGGATTATAATATTTTTTATTAAAATTTTAAGTGTCACCTAATTAATCCCTGGGCAAGTTTATGTTTCAAATTCATCATAATTCTTAATAAGCAATCTTACCGGAAGTGCGTATATTATCCAGTATCTGTTTCCTTTGCTGCTGCATGTGCACGGCGAGGTGCCGGCAGCCGAGCTCGCGCAGCTTAGGCACAAGGTCCACGAACCCTATGGCATAGTCCACCTCACGACCCTCCATCAATGTCAGCCACTTGTCGCCGAACGTCTGCAGATTGTGCGCCAAGTACATACAGTTGTTGTGGAACAATGCTAAAACAATTTTATAGTCTATATATGTTTGGAAATTTTCAAAAAGTAAGAAATAATCGGTCTAATTTTAAATTCAACAAGATAAGTGGTATACATTTTTTGTAATCAATATTTTATTATTTTTAATAGATTGTTTTTAAGAAAGCTTTTACAGTTAAAGAAGTGCTAGCATATACTTACCAACATACTGTGGAATATTCTGAAGGAAATTTTCATGGTGGTATGGTACAACCGCATCATAAAGTTCAAATATTAACCGTGCAGTGTTATACAGCTTCTTGCTGACAACATCGGAGCATTGCACCGCCTGCTCCATAACAATATACACCAGATCCAGTAACTCCTGAGCAGATTTCGATATCATGCACCGTGGGAAATAGAACAGGCTTTTCGGAATTGTCTTATAAAACACATCTAATCCTTGCTCAATCATCTCATCTTCACTTTTTTCATCATCTATAGAATTCACTGGAATATTCTCAACTCCTATAGACATTGAAACACTTAAATCTTTCATCATAATAGACCTAGCTGTCTCTAAAAAGTGTTGGCTTGACTTTGCGGCAAATAGTACATCAATATTATTAATATAGTTCAATATTGTGAAATCTTCATCATGGGAAAATTTCACCATATAAAGAAAACGTTGGAAATCTTCTATTTCTCCAGTAATCTTACCATATATTTGTAGATCGTTAATATTATTTGGTATAGTATCAATTAAACAATCATTGACTAGAATATCTCTAAATTCTTCACTTATTAACCTGCCTATCATTGTAATAATAGGTTCGCCTATACTAAGAATAATAACATTTAGCCTGTTGCTTAGATAATGAAAAAACAATCGTAAATTTGTGATAACGTCAAAGTACGGTGGTTTGAAATTGTCTCTGTAGTTTATTGTAACAGTCATCAATTCATCTGTTTCAGCAAACACGGTACAATCATAATGAATTATAGGTATTAACACTTCCGATAGAATAAACTGTGCAAGTTGGGTTACTTTTTCTAACAGCTTACCACATTTATCTAATGCTTTTAAAACATCCAAAGTGGATAGTGTTTTATCTAATGTGACATTAATTTTAATTATAGTTGATTCAGGACCTGGGTCACTGGAATATACAATCATTCTGTCCCACTGCTCAAACATGTCATGAATTAAATTGTCTAGAATCAAATGGGCTGTATTTTTTGTACTATCAAAGAGTAGGAGGTCTTGAACACCTTCTGCTGGCTCCTCAATATACCTCATTAGATCTGACACTGCTTCCACAGCCTTAACAAAACTTTGAAATTCTCTACCAACATCAAACTCTTTGACAAAATTTCCTATTTGCAGCACATCATTCAATATATTCAAAGTAAAGTTGACACATTCCAATTCTTTACCAATGATGTCATGGTTCTCCATTGAATGCATAATCTCTTTAAGAGTTTCTTCTTCTATCTGGTTTTTACATCCTTCCATTTCCATAATAAGAGATTTGCTTTCAATGATGAGTTCTTTCCCTTCACGTAAAATTGATGCAATATCAAAATCACTGTTTTGTAGGAATGTTTTCATTTCAGCTTTGACTTGTTCTATTTCTTTATTTATCAGAGGAATCTTATCAGATGGTTTCCATTTAGTTTCATCAACATCAATTATGGGCGTACTCAAAATTTCATTTATGTCATATTCAGCCATTTTAATATTTTTTTCTATATTTATCTTTTTTAATTGTAGTTTCCGATCTGTGATCTCTCTTTGGTGATTTACTATAAGATCTATAAGAACTTCTGTGGCTGCTTCGGGAGCTGTAGTATTTATTTGAGCTTACGGTATTCCTCAGTGTGTTAACAAGGAAACGTTTATTGGACTTTTGTGGTGCGCTCTTTACCCATCCAGAAGGTCCCACTATTTCTGCTCTAGCTGCTCCTTGTACTGCCTCTCGAAGTAATTCTTCTACGGCTAGTCTGAAATACAAAAGAAACTCAACTCACGCAATCGCCTTAAATAAGTATAAAAACTATAAACAAGAGTAACTTTAGTAAGTCGTGGATCGAAGTAACTTCTTCTTCTTTTGTTTATGTAGCTCTTACGGTAATTGATAAATACTTTACGTAAAATATTAACATTTTACAATTGTTTAGTAATGAAATAGACATACTTTTCAAGAGCTTCGTCATCTAGTGGCTGACTTTCGGGTTGTTTGGTAGCATCTTCTTTATCTGTCATAGTTTGCGTAATGTAAAATTATATTTTATTTTTCTGAACCCCTTTTTAACCTCAATGCAATCATTTGCTATTCCACCAATTTCCAGTACCCTTAATCGACATATATAATTAACAAATCAAAATTTTAATAAATGTCAAACAGTGTCGATCGAAGTCGTGATAAATACGTTCCGATATTCAATCTTGCATCAAACAACAATTACTGGCAGTTAATGGTTATATCATAAAAATTGCGGAATAAACATAAATACAGGTATTAAGCGAAATATTTACTGTCCTAGGAGAATTTTAAGTCGGCCGCTAGGAACAATATTTATCTTTTCTAGTCTTTAGCGCAAAAAAAAAAAAACATAAAAGGCAGTCATGACTTTACATTTGTTGGAATAATGACTGGCTTGCAACTAGCAACCCTATGTCGCACAATTTGACGCGTGGAGTGAAACGTCAGCCACGTCCGAATTACTTTCAACGTAACATTTCACTTTTTGACGACAAGTTGCTTTTTATTTCTCGGAGTAAATAAGAAACTAGAAGGTAAGATACTTATATTTACTTAAAAATTATTTTGTAATTTATCTACAAAGCTTTTCCCACAGTTGTTAATAGAATTGTTAACTATTTTCATTCAATAAACTGCAATTATTTTATTACACTATTTACCTGGGTTATTTCTATTTTTCAGAAATTATGGCTGCGAAATTACTATCACTAATTCTGGTAATTGCTGCGGCAGTGACTGCCGACGAAGAAGCAGCAGTCGCAAGATTACTTGTCTCCAAACAAGTGTTAAATAAATATTTAGTAGAAAATATGGATATTCTCGTGAAGTACACATTATACAACGTAGGCACAGCACCTGCTGTGGATGTGAAGCTGGTTGACAATGGTTTCCATCCTGACGTGTTCGAGGTTGTCGGTGGGCAGCTGACCGCCGAAATCGACAGGATACCTCCACAGACCAATGTATCACATGTTGTTACAGTCAGGTCAAACAGATTTGGTTACTTCAACTTCACTGCTGCAGAAGTTACATACAGAGCAAGTGAAGATTCCACTGATGTAAGTACAAATAGATTATATGTAATTAAAAGATACCTATAGCTGTTTTATACATAATATATTATTTACTGTCAGCTTAGATTTATTTAAAAAATCATTTGATTTGCTTATACTTACTA